CAAGTGATGTATAACAGTGATTATCACACTCTTATCACATGATTATCACACCCAAATCACATGATGACACCAAAATTTTAACTTATCAACCAAAACGTTAACCCAAGTGATGTATAATGGTGATTATCACACATCTATCACACTCATATCACATGATTATCACACCCCTRTCAYATGATTACACCAAAATTTTAACTTATTAACCAAAACGATAACCCAAGTGATGTATAATGGTGATTATCACACCCCTATCACATGATTATCACACCCCTATCACATGATTATCACACCTAGTATTATCCTAACCTATTTCGTAACCGTTTTACTAGATAATGATAATAATGAGTGTTTAAAAGATAATGATCGTGTTTAAAAGATTTGATGATATCATTTCCATTATTACCCTTTTAATTTTAAATTTTTTTGAATCTTTTTAAATTTAAATTTAAATTTTAAAAATCTTTTAATTTTATTTTTTATCACAATATGAGGTTATTGGGTTGTTCTTGTGTTCTCGTAAATCACAGGGGTTCTCGTTTGAACCCTTCCTATATATATATATATATATTTTTTATCACAATATGAGGTTATTGGGTTGTTCTTGTGTTCTCGTAAATCACAGGGGTTCTCGTTTGAACCCTTCCTATATATATATATATATATATACACACACACACCCCCATGAACATATAACATTTATCAATTGGGTCCATTAAATACCCAACCATATGAAATAAAGGCAATTATTAACCCTAGTTCACTACAAGAAAAAATGACCTTCAGAGAAGCTTTTGTTTTGTACTTAAAAGTCTTAAAAGCTTCTCTAAAGCCTTTAGATAAGCTTTTCAATTTTCTCAAAAACATTCTCTGTGTGACGGTAGGTGAAGGTTTTCGGAGGGTGTGTTTTTGTTAGCCTTTAGAGACGCTTAATTGCATAATCTCTAGATCACCCGGGGGATTTTCTGTTGATTCAGTTTGCCTTTTAATCTCTACCATGTTCTCCTATGAACATAAAAGTCATATATATAAATCTTAGTGATTTATAAAACGATGAAGACATGCAAAAGAGTTCGTTAAGCGTAACTTACATATGAAGTGCGAGAATAGTCATTAACCTAACCATCATTTTCTCTATAATGCAACTTTCGAAAAATCTCTATCTCACCGATAAGAGGATTGTCGGACAATCCCCTATCTTTATAGTGCTCTTGCTTTTTCTGATTCTTGCATTTGTTTCATGCTCTTAATTATTCCATTAAGTTGATGTGCCTGCAATTAATACACATAATTAGTAAAAGAAAAACATCATATAAGGTTATAATATGATAAAGCTATAACAACAGTCACAGTCACAGTGTCAACCACAACTATTCTGAACATATAATGGCAATCAAAATGCCAACCAAAAACCTATTTTAAACAAATAATGACAGTTACAATGCCAACCTTGATAATGTTCTTAGCATATAATAGTAGCCACAATGCCAATAGCAATACTATTTTATACAAATAATAATGGTTGTAACAAACTAATTAAAAAGGCTTACCATTGGAAAAGCCACTTCTGGTGAGTCAGCTGTCTCGCTCCCGGACGTCTCGTCAGATAGAATAAATTCATCATTATTATCCTTATCCAAATCGTCATTTGTATCTTCAAACTCTTCTTCTTCATCACTAACCTCTAATATTTGTATTGTCATAGATGTCGATGAATTGTCCCGGTGTGACAAGACAATCACGTTCAATATCCTCATTTATACAGATAGATTTTGTACCGTGCAACATTTCACTCTCCTGAAATAAATGTTTTTCATCCACATTATCATCATCAGCTATTTCAGTAGCACCTTCTGCTACTTTATAAATCCTCCTTGGCTCCATGTTGACAACAGTCCACCAGTTCTTCAAATTATCTGTCATCGAAGGATAAGGTGAATAATGCACTTGTGTACCTTGTGATGATAGAATGTACGGGCAGTCGTTTTCTATTGCTAGCCTCGACTTGTATTGGAGATCAACCAACTTATGTTCATAGACAATATCTCCTGAAATCTCGATATATGATGAAAAAAATAAGAGAAGTTCAAACTACAACATTAACAGATTGAGATATATGATATAATTATAATACGAGGAGAGATAATCAGCTACTAGTAGAACTCTAGAAGTGAAACTTTGACCCGGGTAACTTGGAAGTTATTTGCATCTTTCAGCATGAAATTTTGATACAGGAACATACAAGAAGTCTCTGTTTGGAGCTTCTTATATATATACTAGTGGTGTACCCGCGCGATAATATATCTATGCATACACACACACACATAAGATGAACAGGAAAGAGCATTATGTTTCCGTGTGTGTGTATATAAGATGAAATGGAAACAGATGTTTCTGTTTCTGTTTCTGTGTGTGTGCATAACTCCAAACAGAAACAGACCCAAAAAAAAGTTGAATGTAATGCTTACAACCTTCTTAACAAACAAAAAATCTTAAAAAGATGATTACCTGATGATGCCAGAGAACTTTTCTCGCACAGCTTTCGAACCAACACACGTAATATCAGCAAAAGCCATCCTAACCATCACCTTAGTTCCCAATTGCAAGTGATAAAAGGACATCAACTTTAACATAAACTTAGTTCATATGACAATGAAAGAAGTACTCTTGCATAGGCTTAACCAAAATAATCGGTAATGCTTGTTGAAAGATTCAGCTACTTTGAGGCAAGTAACCTAGTGTTTTTGTGTTCCGTTTTATGCTCAAAAAATTTGAGCTTTGGTCCCACTTATTATGAATGGATACATCATTTAGACGTGTTTCTGAGAAAAGGGTCTGTGACATATTCTAGATCCTAAACAAAGTGAACCTTTTCATTGGTTTGCAGGATCTTTTTCGTTTAACAGGTGTTGAATGAATATTTCTAGCCATCGTGAAAGCAATGCGAATAGATCATCACATGAAATTTAGTAGCTTATTGTAGTATCGATCATTTACACTAATTTATCATACAACAGGGTAAAATAACACTGAAACAAGCTAATAACTTAAGTTTGACCAGTTTAACAAATGCTTATTAGGTAAACAACAGTGAGAATATTACCTAGTTAAAAGCAAGGCAAGGTTCAAGTATCTTACCCGGTAAATGAGAAGGATAATGCTTACTTGATTCTATCTACGAGAGGCTTAATATACATGTAAATTTGTTCATCTCCCCTTTCTACAACTTCATGATAATCTAGAAGTGGAAAAGATGCATCTTAAAACAAACCAGAAACTTGTCTATGATCATGCAACTACCAGATGCAAATCCATGGTAGCAGAGCAACACCAAGGCATCATCACCTGGTCATATCTTTTTGTTCCTTCCATGTTTGAGTTTTCACTGTAGTCATGCTTCTGGGATTATATCCTTTCCCAAGCATCTATGTAATATCCTTTCTATTAAGAACAGAAAGATTGCATTATGTTTGCTTTCATAAAAACTTTGCATAATATTTGAACTTACCATTCATCATGTATGAAGTAGATAAAAATGGTTTGGCTCCTCTATTTAGGTACACATCTGTTCAATGGAGATGCAGAAATGGCATTTGCTAGGGTCAGAGATAAGGTCTGTATGTATATATGCTTCTACAAACTCCCATTTCAAATGGCAAAATAGGGTTTTAATCTATAACCTCCTTTTAACTTGGCAGTTATTGCCTTGATAAGGTAAGATTAAGTAGATAAAACATGGGTAGCAATATTAATGCACTGAATCTTATAGTATTATGCAATTGAGCGTATTTGGGCTAGAGTAGTGGTAATGCACCAGATCGTAATCAGAATTATGTAATTAAGCATACTTGGGGTAGAATAGTACCAAGACGAGTAATCCTGGGACTTGATTTCTGATACTCATGTGATAACAGGTAAAAGTTCCACTGTGTGGATGTGACTATTATGTGTATGCGCTACTAGCTGTTCTTTGGCTATATTCATGCTTCAAATTGCTGATTACAAATGAGTTGGTTGGTGCAGAATCATATGACAATTGTTGTTTGTCTTGTATACAGGCTGAGTTAAATCTTAAGTATAAGAGTTTTTTAAGTCGATGATCACAAGGATTTGCAGAAAATCAAAATCTAAACCCATTATATGATAAATACTAAACTTGGCTAAACGTCAAAATCAAAGACTGCCTCCCCTGCTCTTGTCAAAAGCTTGGCTAAACGTCAGGTACCTAAAAACTAAACACCTCTCTTTTTTCTTTTTCCCTCAAAATTTATAAAAAGATAGAGCCCAAAGCTGTCATATCATTCAGATCCCCACATACACCATTTGTGCAAGATAACTAAACTAATCATGGAGATAACATAATGAAATCACAGTCAAGCATAAATTGACTACTCTCTCTTTCTCTAAAAGCAAACAGAAAATATTCAGCAAAAGCTCAATCAACAGAAGCAGACAGCACATCAGATGAGATTAAGCCATTATACTATTAATCGAATTGCAACTTTAAATAATCAATCAAGTGAGAGATTCAATTAACTTCTGGAATTAAACCTGTTAACAACATAGCATGATTCAAATTCTTGTTCTTTAACTGATTTCAGCTTACATGTTCGAGCAATTGATATTTTTTGAAAAATGGGTAAATAGACGTACTTGTTGTTCGATGATAGACGATCGATGGTGATGATCTAGGGCTTCTGGTGATTGAGCGACATTTCTTACAGTGAACGATTTAGGGCTTCTGGTGATTGAGTGACATTTTTTACAGGGAACGATTTAGAGCATGTACTTGAGTGTGAATCTAGGAACCTATGTTAGTTTCATAGCATCATTGAAATTTAGCATAATTTTACTAAATTTCGGAATCGGAATCAGTTTTCATGGTTTGTTATAAATTATTTGATATTGAAACACATAATAATGTTCCCAAAAGGAAGAATTTACCTGTAATCAAAACCATAAGAATCAGACGGAGTTCTCCGAGCAACACCGTCCTCCGTAATCGCTGCCAACGCCGGCCTCCAGAGTTTTGTCGAGTTACCTTGTGTCATACCTCGCTGATGACTAGGAACCTCGGTGGTGATGGTCTCAACCACCGTGGGAGGTAACTAGACCGATACAGGAGGCGAGAAGAGGATGATGGAGCAACTAGGGCTCAATTCGTTGATCCAATAACACTTTCTTATATAATTTTGATTTATTCATAAAATCTTTTACATACCCTTATCAAATTACGGAAGTGTTACTAAATTCTTTGTCCAACTTTATTTATTTTTAAAAAGCTTTTAACTTTTAAAGACACTTAAGAAACCGTCACTAAAGTTTTTGTTTCTACTTTCAGGGACGTTTTTCTAAGAAGTGTCTCTAAAACCTATAGAGACATTTTTTATAATGTATTTATTGACTCAAAATCCTTCTCTAATAGTCTCCTTAGTTTCAGTTACTCTTTTTTACTTTTGTAGTTTCATTCCTTTCCTAAAATGCATCTTTAGGTACATTTTCAAAACTTCTCTAAAAATTTCTTCTCTAAAACTCATTTTTCTTGTAGTGGCTCAAGTTGATGAAAGATATCACGTAATACTAAGGAGTTGTTTGTTTTCAAAAAAAAAACTTCTTAATACTCTCTAAAGTTTGAATTGGTCAGACCTTTAGGTATTAAGAGTGTTTTTTTATTTTCAAATAAGAGGCTAGAAGCTCTGGATATGGTCTGAAATTATAAGTGGTAGTGGTCGGTCAAATCTTTTACCTTTAGACTTAATGAAATTGGGCCACAAAGCAAGTATACAATACGGCTCAACGTCGTCTTTCCAAGTAATAAAATGGTACAAGTACCGGAATATCGTCCACAGGGATTGGAGCAAAAGTTAAATAAGAGTCCAATAAAAGAAAAGATTTCAGATGACGAAAACGAAGACTTCAGTTTGATTCCGAGTTAACACAGGTAATATAACAGAATAATAAAGCATAATAATAATAAAGCAGAATAATAAAGGTAGCACGGGTGTAAGATTTGGGGTGAAACGTAAACACAAAATCCAGCAGACAAAGCCGTGGAAGAACTAGTCCCACCATCTATCTTGAAGGTGTTCCTCTCAGACTTCACATTTGCACTATATTATAGCTTTGCACCCAATATCTCTATGTGGTGTTCGGACCAGGGATAGTGACAAAATGGTGTCTTCAAGATATATGGCTAAACAAATCTCTTTGTTAAAAATCACTCTTTCGAGCTGATTCCCATATCATTCAAGTTGGCTTGTTCTTGATAGTTCATCTCTGAATCTATCACACTTTGACACTTTTAGAGAGTGACCAACCCGTCGGGAGCTAAGTTTGAAAAACATAAATGACAAGTCTCATTGTCGGCAACTTTCTCAAGTCTACCTCTCATATCATTCAAGTTGACGTGCTTATCATGGCTTATCTCTAAGTCCATGGCACTTTAACACTTTCAAAATGATCAACTCGTCAAGAAGTGTGCTTGGTTTTATAAAACTTGAATGAAATAGTGGAACATTGTTATTGCGAAACAACGTCCACTTTCATTCGGTTTAACATTTCACCCTTTACCCTACACCCGAGCTAATGGAATTAGCTACTCATTACGGAAAGTAAATAACATAAATAAATGACATAAAGTAAAGACATGAATGTGAATGACTGAAAGTAAATGACAGAAAGTAAAGACGGAAAATAAATGACAATAAAAGTAAATAAAGGTAAATAAATAAGTAACGAAATATGAAGAACAATAATTAAAACGTAAAAGCTTGCAAATACTACTAATAGCTTGAGAGAGTTTTTCAACAATTGTTATGAGAACAAATTGTCTATGAGATAGTCTAAAGAGAAGCCCAAGGCTCTCTTTTATACTCAAAAGTCAAGCTAAAGACAAAAGCATGAAAAGGGGTGAAAGAGAGACATGAGTGGCCTAAAAGAAGGAGGTATCATCTCCATCATAACATGTCAACAAAAAGCATGAAAATGGGTGAAAGAGAGACATGAGTGGACTAAAACAAGGAGGTATCATCTCCATCATAACATGTCAACAAAAAGTATTCTCCACTTCTCTTGACAATGGCTTAACCAATAAGCACTTCTCCAAAAAGCCAAAATGGATCCGGGCAATGCTGTTGGAATGCTGCAGCATTATAGTGCAGTGTTATAAGTCAAAAGACGTCATCTACTCCAAATTGTTGTAAAAACAGATTCATCATCATATTTAGCTCCAAACATAACAAATAGAAAATAAAGAAGTAAAAATGACTCAAGGTTGGGATAAACTAGGAAAATCTACCTATTAAACATAAGAATTGGGTACTTTAAGCATGTAATAAACCATGCTTATCAGGTAGACAAAACTCTTTTAACACCTTTTAATTCTTACGTTCTTCACATTCGTCTTGATTTCAAGCTCTCAAGTTCTCGATCTCTCGATTTCAAGCTCTCAAGTTCTTACCAGCGTTTTTCGCCTTCAGTTCTTGATCTCAATCTCTCGATCTCTCGAACTTCTCAAGTTCTCCCAGATCTCAGGTATCGATCTCCTTTTTTCTATTGCTTCTTTGATTTCTGCTTCTGCTATATTTGTCTAGGTTTGTTTGATTTCTTCTGCATCTTTGATTTCCTTGTTTAATACCCACCAACCTTTCTGAAAACTCTAATCAAAACAAAACCCTAAAACTAAAATCAAAGCTCGGTAAAGAACTTCAATGGCATATTGTTTCTGTTGTGCTTTAACTTTTTCATATATGATATACCCCTTTCAACCATATATTAAAATCAAACAAATCATAAAGGAGTTTTTCTCAGGCCAGTTCATGGAAGCCCAACATTGAAACTTCTCAATTAGGTAGTCAAACAACTTGCTTTGCAACAACTCAAGAACCGTAGAAGAAACATCGAAAACCATGACATAAACCACATTTCACTAGGTAATGGATTCTTGAATTGATAGCCTTGCATTGAGGTTATTTTCTAGAGTAAAGGGATTTTATTATCGGGTATTCAGAAAGATAACCTGGAATAGGTGGATACCTTTTGAATTGCCCCTGTTTTTGGTTAATTATGTGGTATGTCTAATGGTTTAATTAATGGTTTAATGGTATGAAATCATCTTTGACAACAGGTTAAAACATGTACCATTTTGATTGAAACATAGTTGCAATGATCTTTAACAGCATAGTTGCAATGATCTTTGACAGTAGGTTCAATTGACAGTTTAATGGGATGCAATGATCTTTGATTTCTTCTGCATCTTTTTGGAAATAGATATTAATAGCAGGTTAAAACATGGTATGCCTTGTTATATCAAATAACTCAAAGAGGTATTGACACAAAGTGTTCACGTTCAATATTCAATCAATAAGCATGGCTATATATAGCCTACAAAGGAACTAACAGAAAAGCATAAAAGCAGGGACTACAAATCCAAAGGAAAAATTAAAAATAAATGTAAACTGATTCCTAAAAACTAGGTCAAAGACCTTTTATTCTGCAAACTCATAATAATTCTTCCCCTTAAACTAAAAATGATAAATAAGCATTTAGTTTATTCTTCACGTGCTTGAACTCCAAGCAGCCCTCTTAGTTTGACAAAAGTCTCCAACTTTACTGGTTTAGTCATGATATCTGCAACTTGTTCTTTAGTTCCACAAAAGACTAACTTCACCACTTCTTGACTTGTAAGATCACGCAAATAATGGTATCTTGTATCGATGTGCTTTGTTCGCCTATGCATCATGGGATTCTTCGATAGCTTAAGAGTGGAGCTGTTATCACAAAGAATTTCAGAGCATTCACTTTGTTTCTGATTGAGCTACTCGAGTAGACCCTTTAGCCACACACAGTGGCAAGCACACGAAGTTGCAGCCACATATTCCGCTTCCGTAGATGACAACGTGACGATTGATTGCTTCCTTAAACTCCAACATATAGCTGCATCACTCAAAAGGAAAACATACCCAGAGGTCCTCCTTCTATCTTCAACGTCTCTTGCATAATCACTGTCTGTGTAAGCCCTCAGCCTTGTATCCACACCCCTTTTATAGAAAAGACCAAATTCAGTCGTACCTTTCAGATATCTTAACACCCTTTTTGCTATCTCCATAAGTTCCTCCCTTGGTTCAGCCATGAAACGAGACAGTAGGCAAACCACATACATCATGTCTGGTCGTGTGACTGTTAAATACATTAAGCTGCCTATTAATTGCTTATAGACAGTAGAGTTAACCTGATCACTCTTTCCATTCTTCACGAGAACAGTGCCTGGAACTATTGGATTTTTAACCGAGTTACAATTCCACATTCCAAATCTTTCCAGAACCTCCTTAGCATACTTCTTTTGACAAAGATGAATGCCTCTTTGATCTTGATAAACCTCTACTCCGAGAAAGAACCTCATAATTTCCAAATCAGTCATTTCGAATTCTTGCTGCATTGATTTCTTGAATTCTTCACACAACAAAAAATCATTACCAGCATAAATCAAATCATCCACATATAGACTTACAATAATAAAGCTTTCTCCAGCCCTTTTCGTGAACAAAGTGTGATCATAATTGCTCTTTTCAAACCCTTTATGCCTGAAGTAACCATCAATTCGACTAAACCAGGCTCTTGGAGCTTGCTTTAATCCATACAAGGCCTTGTGAAGTCGATAAACCTTATTTTCTTCCCCTTTCTTGACAAATCCTTGAGGTTGATTGACATAAACAGTCTCTTTCAGCTCCCCATATAAAAACGCACTTTTTACATCCAATTGGTAGACATTCCACCCCTTCTGCCCAGCAATTGCCAGTAATGTTTGAATTGTATCCCACCTTGCTACGGGTGCAAAGACTTCACCGTAATTGACCCCTTCCTTTTGAGCATACCCTTCACAACTAGTCGTACCTTGTATTTATCGACCTCACCATTTTCATTTAACTTCGTCTTGAAAACCCATTTCACCCCAATTTTCGTTGCACCATCCGGTAGATGAACTAATTCCCAGGTTTTATTTCTTTCAATTGCCTGCACTTCATTTTTCATGGCATCTACCCATTTTCTTTCTTTAACAGCTTCTTCATACGTAACAAGATCATCATGAGCACCAACCATAACCAGGCCAGCCTCTTGATTAGAAAATTATCCTCCACTTGCATAGTCTTGCATCCAAGTAGATTCTTTTCTGGGTCTTCCTGTTGGTAGCGGTGCGTCTACCTCAGAATCTTCCGAATTTTCTGGTTGAGCTGTTGTCATTTCTTCTGTCTGCAGATCATCATTATCTCCTTGTGCAACATTTTAATCAGGTGTTTGCTCTTCTTCTGGATTTGTATCACCTTCACTTTGATCAATAAGTTCAAGACTGGGACTTGAACCACTTTGGCTCCAGTCCCACTTTGCATCTTCATCAAAAATCACATCTCTGCTGATGATTAATTTTTTCTGAATTGGATCATATAGGCGGTAGGCTTCTGACTCTGTACTTACTCCAAGTAACACACATTTGTGACTTCGATCATCTAGCTTGGTTTTTAGTTATTTGGGCACATGAACATGTCCAATACAACCAAAAACTTTGAAATATTCAACACTTGGTTTAAAACCACTCCAACACTCTTCGGGAACTACTCCATCCAATGAAGTTGTGAAACTACGATTCAACACATGGCATGTCCACATGGCTGCTTCCAGCCAAAAATACTTGGGCATTCCCTTTTCTTCTAGGAGGCATCGTACCATATTCATTATAGTACGATTCCTTCTCTCCGCCACTCCATTTTGTTGTGGAATGTAGGCAGCAGTCAATTGCCTCTTAATCCCATGTGTTTCACAAAATTGGTTGAACTGAGTTGAGTTAAATTCCCCTCCCCTGTCACTTCTTAAACAACGGATATAATTTCTGGTTTCTTTTTCAACCAGATTTTTAAAACTTCTAAACATATCAAAAGTCTCATTTTTTTCAGAAAGGAAATATATCCATGTTTTTCGAGTATAGTCATCAACAAAAACAAGTAGGTACCTTTTTCCACTCTGTGATGCTGGTGAAATGGGACCGCACAAGTCAGTGTGAATTAACTCGAGTTTGTCTGCTGCACGCCACAACCCCTTATTCGGTATAGCCTCCCGATGTTGTTTGCCCATATTACACACTTCACATACCTGTATTTGACCCTTTAATTGAGGTAATCCCGTTACCATTTGTTTATAGTACATGGTTCTTATTGCCTTGGTGTTGAGATGCCCATAACGTTTGTGCCATAAGTCTATTGACTCCCCCGCATCCACTTGTAAACACTTACTTGGCTGAGGCTTCATCACTGCTGAGACCACAAACATTCTGTTCGAAGTGATTGAAAATGTTATGATTTGCTCTCTTTGAGGATGGAAAACCTTGCACACCCCCTTTTTAATCAAGAAAATTAAACCTTTTTCTTGTAACTGCCCTACGCTGAGTAGGTTTGTCGTTAATTGGGGAACTAGAAACACATCAGTAATTGTATGTGTTAATCCTTCAATATCCATCCTGATATTTCCCTTACCTAAAACATTCAATCGTGAACCATTTCCAAGTCGTACAGTATGGTTGAAACTATTATCAAGATCAACAAACCACTACTTTTTACCTGTCATGTGATTTGAGCAACCTGAGTCAAAGAACCATGAGCCCGTAACGTTGTCATTGTTGATCTCTGCTTCAGCCATTAAGARCAGTTCTTCCTTTTCTTCAAAATCTGCTTCAGCCATTAGGAGCAGTTCTTCCTCTTCTTCAAAATCCACATAGTTTGTCTTTTCGAAGGTGGGACATTCATATTGAAAATGCCCCAGCTTATGGCACTTGTAGCACTCGATTATGGCTTTGATGAAATCTGGTCTGGTTCTTCCTCATCTTCTGCCCCCTCTTGAAGGACTGCCTCGGCCTCGATCTCTGCCATAATTCGAATCAGACTCCACTTTAAGGACTTGTTCTTCACCGTCTCGTCTTTTCAGCTTGTGTTCATGTACCCGTAAAGAACTCTGCAATTCATCAACCGTTAGTTGGTCGATGTCCTTTGATTCTTCAATAGAACAGACAACAAAATTAAAGTTATCTGTGAGAGTTCTCAAGATCTTCTCTACGATCTTCACGTCATCCATTTCTTCACCACAATTCCGCATATCATTGGACACAATCATTACCCATCCAAAATAATCGGTCACTGATTCCCCCGTCTTCATTTCCAAGGTCTTGAACTCCCTTCGAAGGCGCTATAATTGAGCCCGTTTCACCCGTGCATTACCTTGGTACTTGACTTTCATCGAATCACATAAATGTTTTGTTGTAGCTTTTTGAACAATCGTCTTCAGTATGGACTTATCAATGGCCTGAAACAAGTAATTCCTTGTTTTCAGGTCTTTGAGTTTTGCATCATCCAGAGACTTATGCTGAGCTGCAGTAGTCTGTTCCCCTTCTCGTAGTTCCCTGTAACCTTCTTCAACTACGGTCCAATATTCTTTGGATCGTAACAGATTCTCCATCAACAACTTCCAATGATCATAGTCACTATCAAACTTAGGCACACAGGGAGTTTGAAAGTTTCTTGAGTCTTCTGTCATCTCGTACACGCTCGTGTTTCATTCACACTCATGTTTCACTCACTGAACGCTCACTTGCGTAGGCACACACAACTCTCTTACAGTGGCTCTGATACCACTTGTTATATCAGAGAACTCAAAGAGGTATTAACATAAAGTGTTCACGTTCAATATTCAATCAATAAGCATGGATATATACAGCCTACAAAGGAACTAACAGAAAAGCATAAAAGCAGGGACTACAAGTCCAAAGGAAAAATTAAAAATAAACTGATTCCTAAAAACTAGGTCAAATACCTTTTATTCTGCAAACTCAATTTTGACCATAATATGCCTAATGGTTTAATGGTATGCAATGATCTTTGACAGTAGGTTAAAACATGTACCATTTTGATTGAAACATAGTTGCAATGATCCTTAACAGCATAGTTGCAATGATCTTTGACAGTAGGTTCAATTGACGGTTTAATGGTATGCAGTGATATTTGATTTCTTCTGCATCTTTCTGGAAATAGCTATTAATAGCAAGTTAAAACATGGTATGCCTAATGGTTTAATGGTATGCAATGATCTTGGACAGTAGGTTAAAACATGTACCATTTTGATTGAAACATAGTTGCAATGATCTTTAACAGCATAGTTGCAAATCTTTGACAGTAGGTTAAAACATGACGATTTGATTTGTGTTTATGGCTACGTCACTCGAGTCTAAAAACGTGCCAAACAAGGACTGTCGCGGCTCAAGCCGTGCCCATCACGTTGCAGGTCATGTTTTGAACGTTTGCGACCCAAAAGCTTGGATGACTTCTCATGCGGTTTCGGCTAACGGGAAGCCGCCCGGACTTCCAAAAAACGGAACCCTCTAACATTCTTTTATAGAATGAACCCAACGGGGTTAAGGGCTTGTACTAAGAGCTTAATATTTCCATGTCGACAACTGAATAATTTGTTAAACCCGAAATTATCTTAAATAAAACACGGGTGTTATAGCTTGGTTTGCAATTTCATAGTTTCATGACTCATGACTGCACTTAACTTGTGATTACTATGGGGTGAAATGTGGTTTAACAGAAGTAAGCCTGAGGGTTTTAGTTGCCCGCTCTCTCAGGAAGTTTCCCATTCACGACATAATAATAAACATGTTGCTAAGGAGAGACAAACAAGGAAGTTGTAGATGGAGGGAGAATTAAAGAAAGTTATTGTTGCCTGAAAAATAAGATTATAAGGTGATGTTGAATGTTTAATCGGAAACTCAAGATCAGATATGCACTGGAAAGGTCAGAATTGAACCATCACACAGATGGTGAGCCTTGAGCATTAGCAATTAAGTCATCTTTGATACAACTTGACTAGTGAGTCCTGAGTCGTCTCTTACAAGTTGAGTGAGTTCGACAACTATCTCATTTCTTATTACGTACATTATTTTCAACTAAGAGGATCGGATGTGAAAGGTGGAAATTCATTCATGCATATATGGATGAGTAGCTACAAGTTTATATTTCTCAACCCAAAGTTACGTTACGTTTTGCTTATTAAAATATATAAATTGAACTTTTTAATAGTCCTCGATTGATTCTATGTTTGATTGATTTCTCTTAGATGGTAAATTGAGGTTTGATGAGAGTTGTAGGTTGATATTAGTTTTAGGTAAATTAGTGTGAGAACCGTGCGTTGCACGGTAGCATGGGTACTTTGGTTAGTGATCCGAAGATTGTTGTTAATAGAATCATCAACAAATAGTATTCAAATAATTCGAAAAAGTTAATAAAATCTAATTAGTGAATTTATATGTATATATATATATATATAGAGAGAGAGAGAGAGAGAGAGATTTGTTTAGGAATAAAGTTATAAAATTAAATAAAATGAGTAATAATAACGACGGGAGTGTGGATAATTTAT